TGGGGAACATTTGGAGCAGCCATTTGGTTTAATTTTTCAGCGATTGACGTTGAAGGGATATAGAGACCGGATTAATGTTGAATTAGAATTACTCTTTGCGACAGTGTTTTGGCTCCTTGGAAGTCGGGAGCGGCGAAGCCACGCCCATTAAGGACTGTCATTGACTGAGCAGAGGAGCCTCGTTCGACCTTTGAACACGATTATTCGGATGAAGATAGGGAACATTTGGAGCAGCGATTTAGATTAATTTTTCAGCGATTGATGTTGAAGGGATATAAAGTCCGGATTAATGTTGAATTAGAATTACTCTTTGCGGCAGTGTTTTGACTCTTTGGAAGTCGGGAGTGGCGAAGCCACGCCCACTAAGGACATTTTCTAGAAAAGCGGCAAGATAAATTGTCCCGGGCTTGAAACGAAATTCTGTGCAGTCTACGGAATTTCCTATCGACTTTGGAAATTGCTCTCGGCTTCTCGAAAAATTCCACGTTCCAGGGACAAGAAAGCGGTCGAAAATTGCACGGTTAATAAGCCGGTGGCGGACGCTATTAAAGCAAACCAAAAATTGTGTTCCGCCGCCCGTACTTCGGCACTGCCGCGAACATTTCGCGCGTTTTAACAGCGAGGCGGAGCGGGCTACGAAGTTTCCGCAGCTTCTAGGGCGGTTTATATTAAGTTTCCGTACGTTTATGAATCTCGGGAATGTCTGGAGCTCTCGCGAGTCCCTGGGACGACGGCGATCGTCCGATCGATGCCTTCGGTTCGATACATCCGTATTCCGAGGCTCGTTCAGGGAGCGATTCCTCCGTTCGTAAGAAACGTAGCGAGCCATTTCGATTCGATTAGCCTTGGCACGGATCGATCTTTAAATTCCCTCCGCAGCTTCGCCCGTAGTTTCTATAACCGATCAATCTCCTCGGAACTTGGTCGAAATTTTATAGAGAAACCACAACTTTGTCGCTCGCCACGAACCCTGTGGCCGTCTTTGAACATTTCCAGCAAAGCTGGCCTCTTTCTCGAGGAGGCCACTTCCGCGGCGGCAACTTTGTTGCTCGCTTTTGAGCAGCGAACTTCTGCGGGACAGAAAAATCATGCTTTGCAGCCGGCCAGGTGAATCTTAATCCAGTCCGACGAAAGCGTTTCGGGCTGCTTTCAATGAGGAGAATGAGAGAAAAACAGAGAGAGACAGAGAGAGAGAGAGAGAGAGAGAGAGAGAGAGAGAGAAAGAGAGAAGGGTTAGTCGCGCGCGGATAATTTGCGGGACCCCGCGAGGGAAATGAAATTTCGTAATTATTCTCGGCGAGCTCTCGTGCGCGTGGCTCGATGGTCTTGGTGGCGGAGGTGGGCGGAGCTCCGAGAACAGAATGAATCGGCCGGGAAATGAAAATCGCTTTAATTACGCCACTTTCGGGCGAACGGTGATTCAACGGCGTTACCAACGTCCCACACCATGAAACACCTTCCGCAGGGGTTATGAAAAGTTCTCGGGCCGGTGTCTTCGTTGCGCAATTATGCGATTCGTGCCGGTAGATAGGGGCCGAAAGCCGACGATGGAGACAAAAAAATTGACACGAATCTGAATGTGATAAGTTCTTGACGCGATTTTCCTCGGTCCGATGAATTCGTTTTTGAATATTCATTTTATTAATCTATTAACACGACCGAGCATCGTCTGTCGTACATGCCGCTGATTTTCAGCCTGTTTAAATTGTATAATTGCAGATAAAAAGACCTCTGCGATTTTGTTTTGCAATGTGAACTTAGTTTCCTTAAATTGGATGCTTGAGGATATATCAATCAATTTTTACAGAAAATTGAACAGAATTTTACAGAATCTTATACACATTTTCAACGCGATGAAATCGCGAGAGTTAGGGACAAAGATGCATAGTAAATTCTCCCTAATCGACCCTCAGCTTGTTCACAAAAATCGACAATTTGGGAAGAGGGGATATGATTGTTCGAGCCTTGCGACTTTATTTTATAATTATCAGTTGTCAACAACTATAAAATCGAGCAGCAAGGCTTTACCTTCTCTTCCCAAATTGTCCATTTTTGTTTCTGAGCTGATTTCTCAATTAGGGAGAATTTACTGTAATTCGAAACCTTCGTGAAATCTTCATAAGACGCGTTGTTATATTGAAAGACCGGTGTGCAGAGGGGCGAAACATGTAAGCTCCAAACACCTTACCAAAAACTAAATTATCTATCTAGATAATTATCTATTTATCCTGGAAAGATCTTAACATTTTTGAAAGCGCATCCCCGAAACAGACAACTGGTTTCCGAAACATTTTCTCGTACCATCGATCGCACATCTTCCATTTTTCTTTCCAAGCCGAGGGTCAATTAGGCAGAATTTACTGCACAAAAGGTCGACAAGAGATTGAGTTTCTTCTATACAGGGTGTCCCAAAAATGTCTCGCAATCCGGAAATGGCGGGTTCGTCGGATCATTTGAAGCAACTTCTTCCTTTACAAAAATTTTCTCCGAGGCACCGTTAACGAGTTATTAACGAAAAACAGTGACCAATAAGAATCGAGTACGGCTGACGCGAGGCGGCCCAGCCAGCCAGCGCACGAAGCCCAGTTCCGCTCATTGGCTCGGTCGCCTCGCGCCAGCCGAGCTCGCCTCTCATCGGTCACTGTTTTCCGTTAATAACTCGTTAACGGTGCCTCGGAGAACATTTTTGTAAAGGAAAAAGTTGCTTCGAATGACCTAAGGAACCCGGCACTTTCGGATTGCGAGACATTTTTGGGACATCCTGTCTTTCCGAAAAAAGAAAATTCGTCGAGAATGCCCGGTTGTTCCCAGCAACAGCGCGGACCGGAATCTAGCGAGGGTCGAGTTCATTTCGGAACAGTGCGCTTACCCGACGCAATTTATCTGGCAGGGCACCGTCGGCTGCCGCTCGCTCGTTCCCCGATCATTTTCGATGGGGAAACTAAACCCACTTTAGGAATCCCCGCGGTCGCCTCGACGAATTCATAAACTGGCCAACAAGGGTTCTTGGAGAGATTGCGCGGTCCAACGGCCGGAAGTAGATCCTCGCTGCCCTTTGAAACGACCAACTCCCCCGAAACAGCCGCGCGTCCCTCCGTATCGAGTTCTCGGCCGGTGTTCCCTCGAAGACTCGAACGCGACCGGGAACGGGAACGCTGTAGTTTGATAATGTCGAGAAGCGAGAACAGCGGGCACAGAAAAGCGTGCTGCGTTTGTTTGACGATGAAACAGAGTCGGCCCTTCGCGACCCGGAACGCAGATGGGAAACAGGAAGCGGATAATGGAACGTAAACGGATTACAGCGCAACTTGTGTTCGAGTAAATATCAGTTGCGCATTGAGGAGAGAAGGAAGGGGAAGGGAGGGGAACGCGCCCCGTGCTCGCGGTAATTCACGTTCCGATTAAACGCGCGATGTATTTTTCCCCGGCTAAGCGAAACCAGCCGCGGTTCCCATTATTTATTTCCGGTTAAACCGCCGCGCCGCGCCCCGACGTAACAAGTTATCCGTCCTTACGCGCTGCTGCAAGTGTCCATTATTGTTATTATTGTTATTCCCGTGCTCCGACAAGCTGAAAACATCCGCGCATCCGCACGCGAATATTGCTACCGATCGCAGAATCACCAGCCGCGAGCTTTAAACATTTCGAACGGGATCAGCGAGCCGATAATTATGTTTCCTGCTGTCAAAATAGTCGGCAAATGCGCCTATCATTTCTGCAGTTTATACAGATTTCCAGAAAGCTGAACGATTTTGATTGCTCCTTGAAATCAGCCTCCAGATATCACGGTTCATTTAACACTAGATTTACGGAGCACAAAAAACAGCTGTTTTATATTAGTTTATAAAAGTAACAATAAGTTTATTCTGATTTTGAACAAGTGTTATTGTAACATTTGCCGTAAGTAACATATAAATTGAATAAATAACTCGTAAATGTATCTTTACGATATGAATAATTGTTAATCGAAAAATTGGTGACCCCGTCATTTTGACGGCCGCGTTACCCGCATTTAGTTGACGGAAATATACAGGGTGTCCCAAAATTATGGTACTTCCGGGAAATGAGGGATTCCTGGGGTCATTTGGAGTAACTTTTTCCTCAGCGAAATTGCAATCCGCGGCTTCGTTTACGAGTTATTAACGAAAAACAGTGACCAATGAGAGGCGAGATCAGCTGACGCGAGACTGGCGAGCCAATGAGCGGAACTGAGCTTCGACCGCTCGTTGGCTCGGCCGATTCGCGCCAGCCGAGCTCACCCCTCATTGGTCAGCGTTATTCGTCAATAACTCGTGAACGATGCCTCGGAGAAAAATTTTGTAAAGGAGAAAGTTGCTTCGAATAACATCAGGAATCCCTCATTTCCCGGAAGAACCATAATTCTGGGGCACCCTGTATGCTCAGATTTGAAAATTCATTTGTACACAAATCTATTGCACCTTCTCGATTTCATTAGGACCAACGAAACACGAGCACGTTGAAAATGCAATTTATGTCGTACAATTTCGTTTCAAAACTTCATTAACACTAAACCTACCAAGCAGTAATACCAACTGGCATGTACTGCTTCACAAAAGTGAGAAGACCGAATTTATTTAGAATTTGTAAAATTTTTATTATAAAACTTGCTCTAATAATATAACTTATTCAAGCGTTTTCCACGAAAGAGTCTCGGAACTTTGCAGAATTGCAAAATAAGAAAGCGGTCACTTTGACCGCGGTAGGTTTAGTGTTGAATAAAATACATTAATGTGACACAATTCATTAAAGTTAGTTAATCACGCGATCCTCTAACGAATGCTCGATGCTCCATAAAAACAGCGGACGAATTTTTATACATTCGATGCTCTGTATCGACCGAATAATCGACCGGTGACCAGTAGAGACAGCCGACAATGATCGGACTATTTTCTCCTAGAAGTTAAAGCAGGCTTCTGCAAGTTAGTCGAACAATCTGATGGATTCGAGAATATTTTCTGAAGTGTTTGTTGCTTTTCCAGGTGAGAAGTCCGGAGGGTACACAGGGAAACCGCTTCCGACTTACAGGCCGGCCTCGCAGTTGGTACCCCTGGGAGGAGCGGCGAGATTGTTCTGCGAAGCTTACCTCGGCAAAGTCGAGCTGCCGGACGCGAAGAATTCGGTGACCTGGTCGAAAAGCGACAGCAACGTCACCTTGCCGAGTCATGGCAGGATTGCACAGCACAGAGTGTCTAGGTGAGCGAGTTTGTCCTTCGGAAACAACCTACCGCGATTTTCCTCGAAATTCGAACGGACATCCATTTGGGATCGGTTCGCAGAAAATCGAATAGGGCAAGTGTGGGTATTACTGCGGACGTCCCAAATACTGCGGTATTTTATTAAAGTAATAAAATCTAAAATGGATCTCATCATTTTTTATATGTTTAATATTGATAATTTATAATATGCAAGTAACGATTTGACTCAACGAAATTGACTTTTGATATTCGGGAGCTTATGGAAACGTTGAGTCTTATGAAGTACTCGTAATAGCAGCTGTGTACGCTGCTGATTCGAAGGGCATTTATATTTTAGTAATAATATTAATATTAATAATAGTATTAATAATATTAATATTAATATTAGTAGTAATATAATATTAATATTAATATTAGTAATAATATAATATTAATATTAGTAGTAATATAATATTAATATTAATATTAATAGTATTAATAATAGTAATATTGATAATAGTATTAATAATAGTAATGCTAATAATAATATTAATTAATAGTAATAATTTTAGCGTTATTTTTAAAAAAAAGTAATCATTGCTTTGACAAAAAGTCGTCTATCCTTAAATATTATTTACTAACACAGTATTTGGCGCATAGTTTTTTTATTACGTGTGTACATTACTGCAGTGCTTTGAACTGCGTAAATGAATCGGTGAACACGCTTGATCGTAGAGTACCTATACCTAATTTGTAAAGTGCTACAGTGAGAATATCTTGATCCTAGGAATTGTAGCTGTGTGAGTACATTTATGAGAAAATGGGCTATGCCACTTCGACGCGCAGTAATCGGAACGTCCGCAGTATTTGACTCGCAGTAATAGATACATAACCGCAGTAATGTATGCACACGTATGGTCTCTTTACATTATGCTTTTTAATGAAATTTGTGCTTTCAGAGATGCAATATTTCGAAAAAAGTAAATATTCAAGTTCAAGAATAATAGATATAACTCGAGTTGTCAATTTATTGGCATAAAAGGTTTTATTTTCTTTGTCAAAGTTCGCCTTCACTGAAAAACCACAGTAATACCTATACTTACCCTATACGATAGCAACATTATTTCGTAGAAATAGAACAACTGTTCCGAATAATCGACGGGACGGTGGATCTCGTTGAAAGAAATGCTGAAAGTATTCTTCCGCTTTTACATTGTAATGCTTCGCGTAATTAAAGGACCGAATCGACTCTGCAAAGGCCACGCCGGTCGATCAACGGCTCCAAGAGCCCGTGAAAGGCTAAAAAGGTCCTTCTTCCTGGACGATCGCCGGCTTTCTTTATGTCGGGGACCGTTCGCAGGAGCCGAAGTTCGTTAGGCGACCGAGATATAAACACCGAAATCGATCCCGAACGGCTCGGCGCGACGCGGCGCGGTTCGATCGGAATCGAACGGGGCCAAAGAACAATCGGAAACGCCGAGAGTGGCGCGGGGACAGAGACCGGGAAGACGTAGCACAGGGGCAAACCGCTAATTAAGGGACTCGCTCGCCTGGGAGTATCGGAATTTCTCTTTGATCCGGAGGCGCATATCCTGCTTCCGGTAACCGCGGAAGACGCGCGGAATGTGTGCGCTCGCGGATCGGTTAATAGGAGGTTTGGCTAACGAGGGATCGATAATGAAATCCCCGCGGTCGTTATCGCCGGAAACGGGATTTCCTTTCCCCTTAAGACCGTTTTACGTCGGCGGTTACCCTTTCGGAAAATCCTGTCGAACCGTTTGATGCCGAGCCGATTACCCGTTTACGCGACCGCGGCTGGCGTGACCGATTGCTTCGTTATTAGCATTTCTTCTCTGCAAGCTGCAACGAAATGATTCGGTAGATACGCCAAAATGTACTCGTGCAGGTCACGCTTCGTACGATGGAGCCATTTTGTCGCGCCATTATTCGCTTTACGTGATTCATTGAAATCGGTGTTTTCAAGAATGTACTCGTTGTATTGAGGAGGACAGCGACAAAATTCTGCGGCTGGTAACTACGTACAGTAATTTCTCCTAGAAATGTTCGGAACTAAAAAACCGGCAGATCTGAGAATACTATGTCGCGATTCTTCGGGCCTCGCGGCTCGTTTTTATGGAAAGTCGGGACAGTCGGCAGAAAAAGGCAGCGGAAAGCATGCCGGTGTTAATTAATATGAATACACATAGTAATGCTAGAATGAAAACGATGACTTAACTTCTTTATTTCTAATCTTTTGCCACGATTTGAAGGCAATTCGAAGGCCACGTGACACGATTCGATGCAATTCAGAGGCCACGTGACACGATTCGATGCAATTCGGAGGCCACGTGACACGATTCGATACAATTCGGAGGTCGCATGACACGATTCGAAGGCAATTCGGAGGCCACATGACACGATTCGAAGGCAATTCGGAGGCCACGTGTCCCGATTTGAAGACAATTTGAAGGCCACGTGACACGATTCAAAGGCAATTCGGAGGCCACGTAACACGATTCGATGCAATTCGGAGGCTACGTGCCCCGATTTGAAGGCGATTTGAAGGCAATTTGAAGGCCACGTGACACGATTCAAAGGCAATTCGGAGGCCATGTGGCACGATTCGATGCAATTCGGAGGTCACGTGACACGATTCGATGCAATTCGTAGGCCAGATTCCACAATTTGATGGCAATTCGGAGGCTACGTGCCCCGATTTCAAGGCAATTCGATGGCCACATGCCACGATTCGAAGAACATTGATCACGTACCTTGTAGCTGCGCAGTTTTTCTTACCTAACCCACATCCAAACAGACCATTTTGTGTCGTCTTCCAAGAATTCGCGTCGCGTGCCGCATCACACGCTTGACCGACTCCGCCGACCCTTAGCGTCGACGTAGCAATAAATTACATAGGCGCAGAACTAGCACAGGGAAATTTACAGCAACCCGAAATTTGACATTTCCGAGAGTAATTACCGTTTTAACGCTTTAGTTGAAGAAGTTTAAAACGGTGGCCGACGAATAGCACCGCTGGGAGAATATCAATATTTCCTATCTGACGTTAAAAACGCTAGGAACCCTGCATTTTTCGTAACTGTGGCTATTGTGTTAAACGCCGTGGTAGTTACCTTCAGCTTCAGTTTCATTGCATTTGCATGAGATTGAATTAAAAGGCTGTCGCGTTTCACTGGCATCCCCTGGCACCGAGCACCACGTTGAAAAGAGAACCAAATCAGGGAAATGAGAGTGAAACTTAAATTCTGCTGAAGAGAAATTGAATTTTTAACAATTACATCGTTTCTTTTTCGAAATACCGATTCAATAGCGACAGCTTCGGTCTACCAGGTGTTTGCCTTAAAATTAAGCGACGATCCCAATCCTCCATCCTCGGGCGTCATCTTGAAACAAAAAAGCAGACGGCCGTATTGCCTTCGAAAAGTTGTAAAAATTCAATTAGCACGTTGCTCGCAGGCCGTAAAACGTCCGCCAAAGATTTCGGCGGTTCGGCGATTCGCAGCCGCGTTAACAGTTACACGTTAACCCGTTCGACGAGACAATAGCGGGGGAATGAATGTCCCCTAGGCGAGACGAATGCCCGTCTTGGATTTAATAGAGGAATTTGGGCGTTTTCGGTCCGCGCACCGGCGCGGACCACGGAGCACCGAAGCGGTCGGGCCAGGGCTGTCTCTCCTCTCCTCTCCTCGCCGCTGCTCCCTCGTTACACCGCGCGTTCACAGTGGGGCACACTGCCATTACGGTGGCGGCGGATGCGGACACTAATTGGAGGACAGGTTTCCAGCAGAATTTCGAAATTTACCCGTGAGACACATGGTTGAACGCGAAAGCATTTGCATTCGCGGAAACCGCGGACAACGGGCAACCTCCTGCGTTGCACGCCGCCGATTATGCACTACCCCGTACCAGCCGCTGTTTACGCGCACAATAGTTTACAGAATTAATCCGGTCGTTTGCGTGTTTGCGTCGGCGACCGGCAACTGCGATGCTCCTTTACGGGCCGCGCAAGAGAGAGTTCAATCGTTCGCTGTCGTACATTTATTTATGCGCCTGCCCGCGCGTTTCGTCGCTGAACATTCGCGGTCTTTCGGATTTCTTAAATTCACTGGCGTGTTCTATATAGCTCTGGAATCGTTGTTTCTCTGCTCGGTTGAGAGTACAGCAAATTCTCCGTAATTGTCGCGCTCAGCTTGTAAAAAAACAAATTGGACAACTTGGGAAGAGAGGATACGATTATTTGAGCCTCGCGTCTCGTTTTTATAGTTGTTGATAATCGACGACTATAAAAACGAGCATTTAAAACGATAAATATAGAAACAAGTGTTTAAAAACTAAGTTACTTTAAAGAACTATAGTGAACCATAGTGCTTTTACATGAAAATATAATTATTGTAATTAAGGGTATATACATATATACCCTTCCGATGAAAGAAGCCGAAAATTCAAAAGGGAGCTGCAAAATTGTCTATCTTCATACCATAAATCTACAATGACCTTGTAAGAACCAGCAAACAAGCCAAAATTACAGACTTTTTAAAGAGGCTGGAAGTTGCAAAAAATCTGAATAAAAGAGAAAGTTCAGAAAGTGAAGGTGATATCGTTCAACCGAAATAACTTTCTCGTTTGATTGTACTGAGTAATGACGAGGAAGAAATTTATTAAATTAAGGTTGCATTAAATGAAAATATATATTTTTTTCTTTCGTTTTGTGTTATATACAGTAGCGGACATATGCTTAAGACCACTTGAAAAACGATACAACTTTTTTTAAGATTGGATTAAATGACTTGAATTTTTTTTAGCTAATAGAGGGATCAATCTACTAGACAATAACTCTAATTCCTTGTTTAAATTTTGCTATTACTTGGACGAGAAAAAAAGTAAAAACTCATGTTTTTCAACCTTTTGATATGACTCTAGAACGAAAATTTAAAAAATGCATTTTGTAGATCTCGGTAAGTTGCTGAAAATTTCATCGATATCGGTTGACCTTGACAGGAA